CCCAGCACTTTATACATTCTTTATTCGTATGATTGTAATAAAATATTACCATGTGTCAAGTTGCCATTGAATAATTCAATAGCCTTATCATGTTTTGTATTATCATTGGAGACAAGAAATAGTAATTTTCTCACCTCAATTTGGCGAAAGATCCACCGAGCCTGGAGACGCTTGCTCTGCTATTTTACTCTCCCCATATATCTTTTGAAGCAGTGACAGCGGCTGAAAGAATACCCACTACACTTGCCAGAGGCGCTAGATACTCTCGGAAGCGCACTTCCTCTTAAAATACGACAAGGACAACAACGGTGGCTTCCCGGCGGTATCGCCTCCAAAGTTAGCGACGAGACGAATAAGTTGGTACGTGAGATCGGCGGTTGGGTAAAGAATAGGCGTAGGAACTCCTGGATTTTTAGAGGCCGGAGGCTGCTTTCTCCTCCCGCGGCGGGGAATGGATGTTGAAGCTGCTGGTGTTTCGACACTTCATCATGAGGTCAATGTCCATGGTGATTAGGAGAATTTTTATTTTTATTTATTTATTTTATCACAAGAAAATAGCGAATTATAATAATTCGATTTCTGATACAGAAGATCGTCTATAAGACGCAACCGTAGAGCATACTCTCGTACTATTACAAATTGAGTTCTAGAGGGTAGAGACTCGTGCTGATAACGTGTTATAAAACTAGAGAGAAAATAGAGAATATAGAGAATGTTTTCTCTTGGTTCAATTTTCATTATAACTGAAGCTCCTATTTATAGGAAAACTTCTGATGGCACAATCGTAATAATACAATTACATCAGGAACAAAATAGTCATTCACATATATATATTTTATGATCTCGTGGTGCATGCACATATATATTATAACAATTGTCACTATACATGACAATTTTTACCTCTTACGCCGAAGATATGCACAAAAACTGAGTAAAATAAAGTTTCATCTGAGGTGAAAACTAGTTTTTTCTTTTCCTCATAATTTTGGAATTTTACTTAACCAAATTAAAATTTAATCCCTTTCTTACGTACGGTAATTGTGTTTCTGTTATGTAAAATAATGGCTTCAGAAAAGAATGTTCTATTTTTCATTATGTCCTGAGCAATTAAATTCCCAATGCCCAAGTCAATTTTGGGTTCTATCTTCTATGAGGACAGTTTCGTAATCTACACAGAAACTTCTCACCAGTGAGTACATAGGTGTACATTTTCGGATTTTCCTTGGTCTCAATCACCTGAATATGTAACTTTTATTTAAATAACAAAAATATTTGAATATGTACCTTTAGTTAAAAATAAGAAAAGTACGATTTTTTGTGTACGCTAGCTTAATGGTAGGATTGTTGACCAATGACCAATTACATGTTGTTTAAAGAAATACATACTTATCGTATTTTTATTTTGTATTATTTTTTAAAAGTATAATATTTCAATTTAAAATTATAGAATATGATTTTATAACCACTATATCTGTCTAATCTAAGTTTTGTTGCTTGTTGATATAGCAAAGTGTTGATTTGGAGAATAAAAACAAAGATTACTCCCTCCTATTTTTATTATTTGTCAATCTGGCTTAATTGATCATTAATTAAATAAATATCGTTTTGACTATTTTGTTCATATTTTTCTATTTTTAACCCTCAATCTAATACACAATGTTTCTTCATATCTCATCTTCATCGTTTTACATAACATCTATTAAATAGTATTAATATTAACAAAAAAAATTATTAATTAACGTATTACTTCTCAAAACGACAAATAATAAAAATACTAGGAAATATTAGATATAATAAAAACGTCAATCCATGAATTTGATTTTTTTTGTTTCATTTAATGAACCTGTTGACCACAGTGGCTAATCACACTAACCCCCACGAAATAAATTAGGTCATACCACTAACAGTAACAGATTGAATTTCACATGGATTCAGGTCCCTACCTGTAAGTGGGTAATTATGATAGTAACCACTATTCTCATCTTTTTATTTATTTATTAGTAAAATTATTTTATGTATGCTTTCATACTTTTTTATAAATATATAAATTATATAATCAAAAATCATACTTAAAATACAATATCAATAAAGTATGATGATAATTCAAAGGATAACATAATTTATACTTAAATATTGTATTTTAAAATATAATATAAATAAAAGTATAAATATTTGTAGAATACATTTTCATTTTATTCTTTTTTTAAATATGTCTATCTAACCATTAAACAATAGAACATCAACATTTATATTTATGTATTAATAAATATAAATGAAAGACGGTCTACTATTCAAACGAATCTTATCTCATATCTTTTGATAAAAATTAAAATACATACATACTTATATAGTAAAAAGTTATTATTTCTAATAAAAATATGCATAGCTATTAATAATGTTATGTCAAACAATAATACTATCGATTATTAAATTAACTAAACAACGTTTCAATTACACTTGTCACATAAAGATTAAAAAAAAAAAAATCCATTTGTTTTTTGGTCTCAAGATATATGTGAATGTTTTTTATTCGATATCCTAGTTGTTGGTCTTTGCTAATTGCTTCATTGTCGCTTTTTTTCCAACCCTTAAAAATATTTAAAAGTCAAATTTTTTGGTATGGGTCGGCTGGTGACACTGACATTCATCTAATTAAAAACTTAAGGAATAAATAATACATAAATAAAATAATAATAATAATAACATTCTAAATATTCTCTCTTTTAGTAAAATCACGTAAATATTCTGATCCTAATGTCGTAACATCCAAGTCACATCCATGTAAGTCACCATTATTTTATTTAAAAACTCCATCTAAAATCCACTAAACAAATTCATCCATAGACCTATTGCCAAATTCCAATTGACGAGAATATTTGTAACACGACTTTTAATTCAATTCGATTCGAGATTTAAATAATTCCAATGGCACCAATTTAAGACGTGTTTAGAGGGTTAGAAATAAACAGATTAAGAGCTAGTTTAATAAAATGTGTTTACGTACAATGTAATCCAATTTGTGGCCTTATCCATCACAAGCATTGTCAGACAAGAAAACTAATAAAAATAAAGATTTTGTACCATTTAAGAAAATATTATTTTCCATGAAAAAGATAAATAAATACTGGTCTAAGATATAGGCAAGATAAAATTTCCAAAATAAAATGTACGTACTGTAGGCCAAATCAAGAGGTTAATTTTCTTACCTTTTCAATGTATAATCTACTTTACGGAACTATTAAATAATATATAATAATTGTGAGAAATTAATTTATTAAGCTAGGATAAGGATCCCCTAATGCTTAATAAATCACTTAAAATCATGTACGTATAACCAATCCTCTTTAGCCCCGACTAGTGCGTGGCTCGTGCGATGCACGGGAAAACAATATTTTGATTGTATTATAAATTAAATAAATAAATAACATTAATCATGATTTACCCATTATTTTTAAATTAAACCGGGTTGGACACAGTCCGACCGGATGGACCGAGAACCGATTTATAACCAGTATATTGCGCTTGAATAAAATATATGCTATCGAATCCGTCAACACCAGTATGTTGGACTGGTAGGATCGATACGATTTTCTAAACAAATTTTGTTACATTAAAAATTATTTTAAATAAAATTACATATTTAAATAAAATAGAGATTTATAAATTGTTTATCAATTAGTTTAAACATTTGAATTTATAAATTGTTTAGATATTTAAGTAACACTTTTTATTTAAATTTATTACAAAAAGTACTATATATATATATATATATCAATATATATATATATATTAAAGTATTATGTATTAAAATCTGAACAACCACAAACGATTTAATAAAATAACTTGATCGTTTCGATGACGTTCCGGTTCTGAAAACCTTATATTTACCGTACATTAATAAAAGTGATAATAAAATAATTATTTTGTTCACATAAATAATAATAAAATGATATATAAATATTCATAAATTATTAATCATGTTGTCGTAAAAGTATTGTTAATATGATTATTTGAAGTTTGGACTACATAATAAAGTATTTCAATATTAAAATTTATATTTAGGTTCAATAATCGATTTGGTCTGGTCAAACTGATACATAACTTAGTTACCTGGGACCAACCCAAGTTATGTCAAGTTTTTTGACTATTTTAAATATCACCTAAAAGTAATTCAATCAACGTGGGCAATACCCTAATTCAATCACCCGATTGATCCAAAAGTAATTTCATTATTTTCTTTAAATATAATATTTAATTTTATGAAATAAAAAAAAAATTATGATTCACCAAATGATAGTATATTAAGATTATAAATTATATATCTAAAGATAAATTATTTATTTTTATTTTATGCATATTAATAAAAAATAAACATAGTAATTTAAAAAAAATCACGATTAATTGAATGGGTATATATATATATAACATGATTGAATTTTTGGATTAGAAGATATATATTTAAAATGATTTTATTATTAAAAGTCAAAAAGAAAAGATGTCATAAAGATTACAACTTTGAAAAGTTTGTAACCATTAATTTAGGAACCATCCGATTTTAAATGATTTATAATTTTTGAAACAGGATACGTCATCTAAAACCTATTAATTTAGGAATCATCCAATTTTTTGATAATTAATTAAAATTAAAATGTAAAATAAAAAAATTGCTAAAAATAGTATATAATAAATGTGGGTTGACTTTTTCTTATTACTATTTATGGTAAATGTTAATTCTTATTATATATATATATATATAGATTTATTTAAAATCAGACAGTTGATACATAAAAGTGAGCAAAAGAACGAAAAAAAGTAATCAAAATTATGGATTTTCAACCTCAACTATATAACACATGAAAAAAATAAAACAAATAAAAATTTCTCTATATTATTATAAAAGTAGTAAATCGAATTGCATCAAACGGCACCAAATAAAAAAATAAAAATAAAAACAAATCAAACACCTAATGAATATATGTACTACATTACATAATCAAATNCATTCAAGTTGGTGCAGCTCGTCAGCGTTTATCTTTATTATTTCCGCTTTTATCTAACGCGTTTTTAAGCCCCGCCCTTGAACAATTTCCCACTGTCCCCTTCCAACTGCATAAAAACCTCTAGAACACAACTTCGCCTTCAGTTTTTTCCTTCACAAACCCTGAAATCCCAAAAACAAAAAAAAAAATCTCCTGTACAGTAATCCCGAACTGAAATCTGAAATTGATTGCTAAATCTTTCGACGGAAAAAGAGTTGAAGATAATCCAGGTGAAGAGAGGTAGAGAGAGAAAGAGGGTTTAAGAGGATGCTAAGATCGTGCTGTTTTCGGTGTTTGGGCCGGAGGAACGGCGACGGCTTGCTCTGGCACATGGACTTGAAGCCGCACACCACCGGTGAATTCTCGATCGCTGTCGTGCAGGCGAATTCGAGCCTCGAGGATCAGAGCCAGGTTTTCACGTCGCCGTCCGCCACCTACGTCGGAGTTTACGACGGCCACGGCGGGCCAGAGGCCTCCCGATTTGTCAATCGCCACCTGTTCCCTTACCTCCACAGTAAATATTTTCTTTTGGGCGCCCTATTTTGGTTTTGGGTTTTGTTGATTTTTGCTGATTCGAGTTTTTCTGCTTTGCTGTTGAGATGCGATTGGTAGAGTAGTTAGTCTGTTACTTTCTTCAAAGGAGCAATTCGGATTTAAAGTGATATGTTTTTAAACGTTGTGATGTAAAGATTGCTTTTTGTGTAGTTTACTCTGCATAAGAAACATACCTAGCCATTCTTAATTTTGTTATTGGCTATTTTTTGTGTAGAATTTTCCTCAGAACATGGGGGGTTGTCAGCAGAAGTAATAAAGAAGGCATTCAATGCCACAGAAGAGGATTTCACTCACTTAGTGAAGAGATCATTACCTGTCAAGCCACAAATAGCTTCGGTTGGGTCCTGTTGCTTGGTAGGTGCGATTTCGGGTGGTGAATTGTATGTGGCCAACTTAGGAGACTCGAGGGCTGTTCTCGGCAGAAAGGGTTTTGATGGGGAGAAAAAGTTGGTGGCAGAAAGGTTATCCACAGACCATAATGTCTCGTGCGAGAAGGTGAGAATGGAGGTTGAAGCTCTCCATCCAGACGATAAACCTGTTGTGGTTTATTGCAGAGGGGTCTGGAGAATCAAAGGAATTATCCAGGTAGTTAGTTAATCAAAGCATTTATCGAATTAGAAGTATTATGACATTTTACCTTTTTTCATTGGACTCTTCGCATATGTACCTTTCCTATTTACCCTGAATCGAGTTATTGAGGTCGAAGGTTTTAGGATTGGAACCCCATCTCTTGGCACGGTTTTATTTGTTCTGTGATCATTCAATGTAATCTTGATGTGGAATATGTAGATTGATTGAGAAATTTAGTGTGCGGGGTAGGCATCTGCTAAGCGAACCACCGAATTTATGCCCGTTCCTGATTTTTTTTTTTTTCCTAAAATTTTATTTTAGGGTACTCGTCAATTCGTTACTCTTCCAGGAATCACATGCTTTGCCTCTTGCCCGTCTCATGTTGTAGCTGAAGTCATAGTAACCCTGCCTTCCGGACATGAGATGTATGTGTGAAGATCTTACCGTGCAAAGTGTTGTGATTCTCTGGTAGAAGTGTTTTCTCTCTTTAAATTTGGCCCACATGAAGATCCTTAAGGCCGTAATAGTACTACTACTTCTAGGACCCGGTTTTCTTCCTTTTCATATGTTTTAGCAGTGGTGTTCGTGGTTGCCCGGTGAGATGAAGAATTTGTCTCAGACTTATTTCCCTTGGTTCTTTTTCTTTTTATTTTTCTCCCTTAACCTTTGGTTTTATTATCTTTCTACCAATTGTTATTAAAAGATAAAATAACTCCCTAATCCTTCTCTTTATTATTTCTCTTCAGGTATCGAGATCAATTGGCGACATTTATTTAAAGAAACCCGAGTTCCATCGAGATCCAATTTTCCAACAATACGCAAATTATATTCCCATGAAGCGACCAGTTTTGTCCTCCGAACCTTCCATCGTGACTAGAAAGCTGAGACCACATGATTTGTTCGTAATTTTCGCGTCTGACGGTCTTTGGGAGCATCTCAGTGATGATGCAGCCATTCAGATAGTGTCAAAGCACCCAAGAGCTGTAAGGATACATCACATTATCTTTGTTTGCTATTCAAAATTGGAAACATTGCTGCTTTATATCAAAAACAAAATTGGATTTTTTTTCCCTAGCCATATTAGAGCTAAACTAAAACCGAATGATAAGCCGAGGAGTGATTTATGTACTTATGCTGCATTTCTTGCAGGGAATAGCCAAGAGACTAGTGGCAGCTGCTATCGAGGAAGCCGCGAAGAAGAGGGAAGTGAGGTACAAAGACATCAAGAAAATCGAGAAGGGAATCAGACGGCACTTTCATGATGACATCACCGTTATCGTTATGTACCTAGATGATCACAAAACCTCGGTAGATTCTAACGGCAAGCAAAGTGCCATCGGCAGTTTCACTCCCCCAGTCGACATATATTCCTATAATGTGGATGAAGCTGTTGAGCATTCGGGTGACAGGATTTTCCCCCAACGATGAACTTGCTAACATCCTGAAGTATAAAATTATTGGTGTAGATAATAATTATAGTAGTAAAAGGGGTTTGGTGATAGGGAGAGCTTGTTTTGAAGTATACTAGGCTCTGAACATCAACTTAAGTATACATAATATTCTTTTTGTTCTTTTATGGGTTGGCTGTAGTCTTTTGGTGTTTTTGGCCATCAGAGTTTTCCTGATGGTTTTTAATTTCCACCACTGGATGTTGTTGAACAATGATCAGTTTGTTTGAATTTTATTTTTCTTTTATTTTCCTTTTTTTTTTTCTCATAAGTCAAGGCAACAGTATGTTATGAAAAGCTCCTACCTTGGTCCATTTGTCCACCACATAGTGCAAATTGTGATACATATAACATAATACATGATATGATATTTGCTAAATTCAATCATTCAGTAATATTTAAACATACGATTAAACCTAGGTACATAAATCACCTGAGTATAGTCATTTCACATTAGGAACTTGGTTTTCTACAACTTTGTTACCTTTGGTAGGGTTATTTTGCATTATTGTCCTGATTCCTGGCTTGAACAAAGGAAAAAAAATGGATAATACTCCCTTAGTGGCTTTAGTTTCTTTCAAGCAAATTAAGATGTATGATCTAAACTAGGAGACAACAAACAAGTACACAACCCACAAAGCTAAGATCTTTGATGCATAAGTAAAGATCACAAAATCCTTATGGAAGATAACAGATCATTTGTTACCCTTATTCATTTCCACTAACCATCACCACTCATACAAACAAAAGGAAAAGGGAAGGCCAAAAAAAATTCACCACTCATACAAACAAAAGGAAAAGGGAAGGCCAAAAAAATTCACAGTGCACATCAACACATGAGAAAGTATACCCAACTCAGACAGACATTCACCAAAAGTTCACATCAACAGGAACCCCAAAAACTCAAGGCACAATCTTGTAAGCCTTCGCCTTATCAATCCACGACACAAACGAATTCTTCGAATTCCTAAATCCCAGAAACCCATGCTCCTTACTCTTGTTCATCGTGTCCAAAAAACACTCACTCCCCAATATGACATCAACAAACCACCAATTCCCAACATCCTCTAGCTTAGTCGGGCTCAGCCCGTTCTCCCTCACAATCTCATCCCACACGGGCCCTTTATCTCTCATAAACTCCTCAAGCTTCAAACTCTCACCTTCTTCCTCATACTCCCCACACTCTACCCCAAACTGCTCGGCCAGAACTTTCCAGAAGTGCTTCCATTTGAAAACATCCCCATTGCTCACGTTAAACGCCTCGTTCTTCGCATAGGCATCGACTGCCGCCCAAATCTGGTGCTCGGCAATCAAATCTGCATCCGAGCAATCTGAATATCCATCCCAGGCGGCTTTACAGCCAGGGAATTTCATAACTTTCCCCTCATGCTTGCAAATAGCTGCGTAAACACAAAGGGTACCGACTAAATTCATCAAGCTGTGAGGAGAGAAACCGAATATGTTTCCGGGCCGGTGAACTGACCAGGTCAGGCCCTCCTTCTTCTCCACAGCCTCAAACAGGATATCCTCCTGTGTGTAGTAGAAATTTTTGCAATCCAAACGGGGCATATCCTCGCTGTACGGCGGATCTAGGGTTTCGATTTTCCCGAAGGCCTCGAATGGGCCGATGTAATGCTTCCGGCCGGTCTGCAGGCAGATGTGCTTCAGATCGGGGCAATTGGGGATTACGACGTCGAGCACGTTGCGGAGCATCTGGCCGTTGATTTCGCAGTTTTCGGCCTCGTTGGATCTGTTCGCCCAGGTGGCGTAGAACACGTGGGTGACGTCGGAGAGGGGGGAGAGCTTGGATCGGACGTCCTCCGGGTCGGAGATGTCGCACCGGACGTAGGTGATCGGGTTGTCGTCGTTCCAGGCGGGGCGGGGGCGGCGGGCGACGCCGTAGACCTTCCAGGGGCCGCCGGGGGTGTCCGAGAGGGGGAGGATCTCGGCCAGGCTGTTGCCGACGATTCCGGTGACGCCGACGATCAGGGCCACGCTCTCGTGCTTCGGAGGCGCATCGTCGTCGCCGAGCTTCTTCTGTTACGGATCGAGTGCGCGTGAGATCGACGCGGGTGTGTGAAGGGGAAAAATAAAAAATAAAAATCGAATCGGTAGTGATCGGAAAATGATGTTTACCTTGGCCGCACCGATCGCTCCAGCCCACCACCAGCTCATTTTTCAGGCGTCGGACAAAAAATGTGAGGATTGGAAAAAGTTTGTATTTCTATTTTTATTTTTTATTTCAGGCAAGGTTTGAAGGATATGTAGGCATGTGATAAATGACATAAGTAGAGGAAGCTGATTTTGTTTGTGTGTGGTTTAGCGTAGGTATCTCATTACAAAATGTTGTAGGAATCTTAAAACAAGACGTTACATAAGCAAAATCCATTTTCTTTAAAATCTTTGTTAGGAAGGATCACTCTTCTACTCTATCATTAGCTTTTATCATATCTAATTTTAGATATGATAAAATTAAAGTTTAGGTAGTGCACACATTCATTTACAGTTATAACATTGTATGAAATTTGTCTTGCAAAAAAGAAATTCAGTTAGGGGACATACAGGGATTTAATCATTCGAAGATAAGATTCTACAACTACGTTTTCATATGACACAAAGTTCATTGAAAATATTTTAAAGGACTTAATTTAATTAATATTCATTAAGTGAATATATAAATTTCATTAACCTAAATAAATAATTTCACTTTTCCTTTTAGTTTATATTGCTAATAAAATGGACTTGTAACAAAATATTCATTACAAAATAATAAAATATTTATTACTCTTACATTGGACACGCACCTTCAATTGTATTATAAGACTGATTTCTAGTGGTGTCTTGTTGTCGAGAGACCTGTTGGCGAGAAACCTGTTTTTCGAGAGACCTGTTTCTCAATATTGAAAAGTTCCAACATTGTGTTGTAGAAATTATTAACTTATCATGTACAAGTTTATAAAATCCCAGTGTATTCGAGACATCCTTAGCAAAATCAAAATTAGAAATTGATCTAGTCCCTTCATTGAGTCTTTTACCGTGAATGTGTGTGAGTGTGTAATCTAAAAAATCAGGTGAGGACATTATTCTCTGATGTGGAATCCAGAATAATTCGGTTGATCGGATTGAGTGGGCAACTCAGAGGAGGTCGTGTCCAAGAGGAGCTCAGCCTAATGGAGAATAGGTAACTCGGTCAAGGAGCTCGGGGGTGCAATTCAAGGTGCTGGATAACATAATAAGACGATCTGGAGGTCGCTAACTCTAGGAGCTCGAATACAAAGAGTGACCTCGAAATTTCGAGGTCGCGAGGTAGAGAGATCGGGTATCGACCTTGGCCAAGTCTTATAGCACGAATTTCGGGAGGTCATGGTTAAGAACTGAGGACCTAGATAATATATAAATAAATTTTTTAGAAAATAAGAAAATATTATATATAAATAAGTGAAGACTAATTGTTATTACTTTATCTTATTAAGTATTTTAAAAATAATCAAATTATATTGGATTAAAGTTGTTATAAAATCTATGAACAACATATACAGTACAAATATTTATTAAATCACTAGAACCATACCACTTACTCCTTCCATTTCATAATAAGTGTCATTTTAAAAAGTTGCACAATAATTAAAAATATTTTTTTTTCAATAATAACCCTCTTTAATGAAGATAGAGATTGATACGTATGTAGAGTGAATATGAAAAGTTATAGTGTATTTATTAGTTAAATGAGGCTAATAATGGAAAAATATGTGCAAAATATCTAAAACGTTATTTATTTGATGAAGTTAAAATAGTTGATAAAGCTAAAATGACATTTATTATAAAATGGAGGTAATATTTTTTTTTTAAGATTAAGACACCATTAATGAGGTCGCATATCAAAGTTTGATGCTCCCTATGTGGAATTGCACGTGCAATAACGCTGAATTTATGGTTGGGCCAAGGGTGGTGGAAATGGGCTTTTCCAAATAATGTATTATAGCATTTTTTTTAATCCCTCTTTACAATAAAATTTACAAATAACATTATGTTAAAGTAATGTTTAAATTTAATGATTGATAAATTCTAAAATAATACAATCTATGCAATAATTGAATTGCGCGTGCAATTCCACATATGGAGTTTTTCACAATTTTATGAGTAATAATAAAAACTTTTAAACTTATTTTAATCCATAATTAGTTGTAAAATTTCAAACTCTAAATTAAATTGTCAAATGTTTGTGAAAATGCAAAAAAAACATTTGAACAAATTATACTAAGGCCAAACTTCAAACCTGGCCAAACGTTCATGCAAATATGATTGATCCTATTTTATACAAATATACAAGAAACTCTTTGATCAAAGTTACACTCTTTAAATTTTGGTTTAGAGCTGAAAATTTCAAGAACTCTGAAAATAAAATCTTATTAGGGGTTAAGAACCGTAAAAATCAAAATTG